GTGATAAATACACAACGTTCAGTAAAAGTGTCTGTAGGAGATTCTTTATTTTATTTTAAATATTTTTTTATTGAAACAGTTGATTATACATATTTGTGGAGTACAGAGTTGACTATCTGTATTTTTGTGCAGTGTGTGCTGATCAAATCAGGATTTTTAGCATATTCATCATTACAAAATGTAATTATTCTTTGTGCGCATTACCCAGTTTCTCCTTAACCTCCCTACCCCTCCCTGCTTCCTACCTTGTCAGTGGAAGATCGTTACTACAGTAATGAAATGTGTGTTTTGCCTAATTTTCAGAACCACTGTGACTCTTCCAAGATGTGTATGTGTTATCATTTGTGTGTGTGCATGCATGCATGTGCTGTGTGTTGTGTTTGGAGGGAGTATGAATTACAGTTGTTAGCTGTTGCTTATTGTTTATATTCAGGGCTTGTCAGTAGCTCAGAGGAATTTTTCCAGACCATTGATCTCTTGGGATTAGTTTATTTATAAGAAAATTGTTTTTCTAGCTCTTGTACCAAAGCAGATACTTTGCTTTCCAGAACACGGAGATTTCACAAGTGTTGTCCAGAGCCAGGTGCAGTGAAATGATTGCCTCTTTGCTGTTCCTCATTTCCATCTTTTAGAGCTCAGCTGTTATTGTTTCTGCAAAATAGTAGCCTCAGCCACATGAAGCACAGGATGTTGTGATTTTGTCTAGACACCATTTTGTGTTTCCAAGAGATCCAGGGTAGAGATCAAACCAGAATTGGGCTTGCACCAGAACTTGAGCTGAAATTGTGTGAATGTACTGGCCTAAGTCAGTACATTCCTCTGCTAGGTCTGGCTGTAGTTGAGAAATCAGACATCTGCAATTTGTCTAAGCAAATCTCTGACCACTGGAACCCTTTTCATCCTTAGGTATGTAATTCTAGGTAAGGATTACTATGTACTAGATACTAAATAAAACACTTTGCCTGTAGTATTATCTCATTATATCTTTATAACAACAGTCTTAGGTTTTTTTTTTTTTTTAATCTCCATTTTATTTATAAAGAAGCTAACATTTACAGAGGTTCAGTAACATGGACAAGGTCTCATTTAATTATTGATAGAAACAGAATTTAAGCATAGATCTATCTGACTCCAAGTTTATGCCTTTAACCACCATACTACACTACCTCCTTATTAAATAGAAGATTGTAAACTACTGGGGTGTGAGCTTAAATTCCAAGTCTCTCCCTAGTTAAATATAAAAATAGAAAGAGTGGCTAAAAGTAATATAATCTACCTTTGCCTCAGTTTGCTTCTCTGGTGTATCAGGATTGTACCCA